TTTTTTTTTTTTTTTAATGTGGGAGGTTTCCTCCATTTCCCATAATTGGCATATTGTCTAGTTAGTCCTTCCTGAGAGGAGAGCCTGCAAGTGTAGAGCACAAGTCAAGGCAAGGAACATTTTTTCCTCTGCTCAAAATTCTGTCAATCCCAACAAATGATTGATCAAAGCTGGCATGTGAATTCAGATCATCTCTGTAGTTATGAATGCTTAAAGGTTTGCTTTCTTTTTACTGAAGAAGAAAAAGATGACAGCTGTTATGTTTGGGAGTAATTCAGTTTCCCTTCTGAGTGACTGACCAGTTATCTGATGTGATAACTCCAAACTTGCTCTGGCTGGAGTTATCACATACAATGTATATATCATCTAACATTCAGCTGGTATTCACTACTGAGCATGTGTTTAAGCGAAATCAAATTTTATCACTGCTTTCAGAATCCGAGGGTTTTTCACTCCAGAAAATACATCCACCCCACCCAGATGACTTATAACAGTGAGACATGATACTCTGAAGACTAGTTATAAAGTAAGCATTTAATCTCTTTCTTCTCAAACTAAGATATTCTTATGGGTAGTGCCTCTTCATGAGGTCTATGTTACACCTTGTATTTTTGTTTTACACTTGCAGCAGAAAACCAGAAGCGTAATGAAAGATCTTACAGCAACTTCACCTTGGAAACCTATCCCTCTGATTGAGAAACAGCACCTACCAGCACTAAAAGCCATTAACTAATGTCATCAGGCAGAAAAGAACTGAAAAAGTATCTGTGTTCTGCCTGCTGGAATTGCTCACTGCAATTGTTCAGGAATATGGCATGGTGTCTTCTAAGCTCACTAAGAATAAATAAACTCATTTTTAAAGAAGAAAAGCTTTTTCGATCGCTGGCAAAAAGCAATGAAGGCAAAACAAGGGAAGATCAACAAGAGGATTCACTCTTGCCTGCAGCAAAAGTATGGTTTTGCCTGGAGATACAATGATATCCCTGAACATAGGGGAACAAGGTTGGTGCTGTGTCACTCCATCATGAACTGGGAACAATGGCAATTGTTCCTGAGCTCATCGTAAAGCAAAGCACAAACAACATAGCAATGACAGACCTTTCAATTGAAGACTTTGAAACTGAAATGCTTATTTTCATGTAGTGTGCCAATGAAGTGGGATTTGGAGTGAAACACATTGTCAAATGTGGTATCCTAATGGATCAGTGACACCTTACTGAAAGGGGAAAAGGTTAGGGAACTTTTAACAAACAGGACATATATAAGTCCATGGGGCTTGTTGGGATGCACCTACATGTGCAGAGGTAGCTGACTGATGGCATTGCAAGGTCATTCCTGATTACCTTTTTTTCATGGTGACAGGGAAGGGCTTCTGAAAACTGAAAGAAAGAAAATGTCACTCTGGATTTCAGGAAGAGTAAGAAGAGTGAACCAGGGTACAACAGGCTGGAGAACCTCATCTCAGTCCCTGAGAAAGTGGTGGTTCAACTTATGCTCGATACGTTTTCTAGACACATGAAGGATGGGAATGCGATCATGAGTAGAGAACATGGATTTATGACGTGGAAGTTATGCTTAACCAACTTGATAGTCTTCCACAATGAGGTAACTAGCTCAATGAGCAAGGAGAGAGGTGTGGATGCTGTTTACCTCAATATTAGCAAGTCATTTGACATGGTTTTCCATTAAATCCTCATAGATAAACTTGCAAAATATGGGTTAAGTAAGCAGACAGTGTAGTAGACTGAAAACTAGCTTGGGGCTCACTGTGTGATCAGTGGCCTGAAGTCCAGCTGGAGGCCAGTCAGTAGTGGAATACCTCAGGCATGGATACTGGGACCAATAATGTTTAACCCTTTCACTAATGATCTGGAATGGGTCAGAGTACACCCTCAGGAAGTTTGCAGATGACACAAAGCTGCGAGGAGTGGCTGATACATCAGATGGGTGTGCTGCTGTGCAGAGGGACTTAAACAGGTGAAGAAATGGGCAGCCAGGAATGTCATGAAGTTCCACAAAATACATGCACAGTTCTGCCCCTGTGAAGGAACAATCCAGGCACCTCATACACACTGAGGTGGTTGAAAATGAGCTTTGCTGAGAAGGGCCTTGGAGCCCTGCCTGGTGAACACCAAGGTGACCAAGAGCCAAGAATGCACAGCAAAAAAAGGCCAGCAGTACCCTGGGGTGTTAGGAAGAATACAGCCAGGAAGGCTGAGGGAGGTGATCCTTACCTCTATTCAGCCCTGGTGAGAGAGGTGAGCAGAAAACCTTGTAAGTATCTCCACCCCACAGATGCTGCTTGTTAATTAATGTCCGGTTAGTGTGCAGTCATGGCATAAAATGGATAAAGATTGCCTGGGTAGAGACCTGTGTTACTGGATTAGCATCTTGATGGACACACAGAAGCTTCTGTGAAAAAAACCATTGTGTGTCTGGTACTTAAATTGCATTTAAACAAAAATAAGAAGAGAGACTTTAAGAACTAGATATGGATACAATTTACTCAGTTCACTACTGGGAAAAAGTTAATAATCTCTCAGAGGAAGATTAAATGCTTGCTGTATAGCTCACCACTTAGAATCCATACAGTTCTTTTCAGCCATGGGTACTATGACCACAATCAAGGACCACAAGCATGAACTGTTAAAAGAAGAAATGACTGATGAGATCCTCTAAGAGAAACAAGCCATCTGGAGATCCTTCAACAGAACAAGAACAGCAGCATGCTGGAGAAAGGCAAGGTGGGGGTTATAAGAAGCATCTCCTGGGGAACACAACAAAATCCTGTAAACTTTACCAGGGCGTCTTACAGAAACACTACCACGGAATAAAACCTTCCCTTGGCCTGAGTGAAAGCAAATTTAAGGCAGTCTGTTTATTCAGTCTGCAGCTTTTTTCCATTGTTCATTAAAACATGTTATTCTAGCTCAAGTTGAAGTCAGGAGGTGATCTCTCTGTCTGATGGTTTGACTAGTGAGAATATTAGACTTCAACTTTATCTCAGCAAATAATGGGCTCTCTCTGGATTAGCTGAAACTCTGACAGGAAGGAAGAGACATTAGTGGGAATTTCCCCTAGATAACAGCCCTTGGTTTATAGAAATCATGTTCCATTATCTCTAAATATTATACAGACATAGATATACAGAGCAACAGCATTTACTATGTTGAATTTGCAAACACAAAGTTTTATCCAAAATGACAATCAGATTTGGAGAAATTTAGTGACAAAAATACAGAACTATTTTAATGGACTTAGCACATTTTCTAATTCTTTCTCTACTCCAGTTTTATGAAGTGCATAGTCTACCTATTTTCCTAAAAACACTTTTAAGAGGTAAATCCAGATACCACTGGTTTTTAGTACTTTTTAATGTAAAAGGCTAGATTGCTGTCTAAGCAAGATTTCTATCTATAGTTAACTGTGCTTCTTTCTCTTGATCAGGACTAGCTTACAACATACTAGATGCAGAAAACATATCAATAGTCAGTTTATAATTACATGTAGAATATGAGGGAAATATATAAATGAAAATTCTATGTAAAGGTTTTCTGAAGTTTCTGTATTATGAAACACATTGTTATTTTCTGTATTAGTCCCGTTCTTGTTCTACACTGAAACTCTTTCTGTGTATTTTTGTCAGAGGTTGCATATGACCCTGCAGCTTGAAACTGGAGGAGAAAACTTCACAGAAAATACAAATAATTTTGCCTGTTGTTTCCTTTATTGGTGAATACTACAGCAGTAAAATGTTCCACACAAAATCAGTATTAGCTGTGTTTCACTACTTTTTATCATAGTTCTCTCTTTATAATTACTTTTTTTAACAAAAGGAAGTTAATTCTCCATTAGGAAATGAAAATTTGTTGTAATTTGCTTTTATTGCAAGATTTTACACTATGAAGAAATTCTGAGTTAGAAGATGCTTGTTATCCTTAGGTGTTTCTTTACTTTGCATAAACTGCTATTTAAATTGGGATGGTATGCTGATATTACCATTCCTTTTATTATGCACTTAATTTAAGATAATGAGTATGAGAGCCTGTTAAACAGTACTCGGTTTGCCAGGGATAGGACTACAAGAAAAGTAGAAAATCAATGTGCAAAGCAGACTGAATTTTCACATTTGAGAGGCAGTCCAGCAATGGGCCTTGGAAACTCACTGACCAGCATTTCCCTTTTGTTTCTACAAGTTTCAAAAATTCAGAAGTTTATTTGTAAAAATCTTTAGCAGTTCAAAAGGAAGGATACTACCAAACCCTGTAACTTCTAAAAAGTTGGAAAAATACTTCTAAGGATATCTGTCACTGTAGTGGTGAGTGAATGAGCTCAGAAGTTCAACTTTTCATGCTGGCTGTGTACATCTCTCGTTGTTGGTCCATTGGGGCAGGAAGGAAGTGCCTGGGTTCAGTTCTTGGTGTTCTGTAAAGCTTCTATGAGAGCTTTGTTGTATTCTCTGACCAGCTTTCTCACATTCTTCATTATTGGCTGGTAGTCACTCTCCTGACTTTTTGTTGCTATGACTGATTAAAAGAATTAAGGAAACCAACTGCCAGTATAAATACGAGCATGATTAGAGATCACAAGGGAACCACAATGCAGTACATTTCCTTCTGTGAACACTGTCAAAGGTTGCAAATAGTGGAAAAAACTCAAATTGGGTAAAAAGATTTACACTAATTTACTAGCTACCATCTCATGCCAAGCATGGTAGGAAACAAAAAAAAGAGACTACATGCCTAAGTCAGTTTTGTTTTCATATATACAGGCAGTAGGTCCCTTGAGAAAACCTCTGCCCATTGCTACATTACAAACAAAACCATTTCAAGGCACTCAGCTATTTACAGCTATACAGTCTGGCACTTCAGAACTCTGGTCACAAAAGTTCCAGCCCAAGAAAGGAGTCCCTCTCGTTCTCGTAGCCCAAGCAGACACAGTACCCTGTATAAGGGTATGCACTTGGATAGGCAATACATCATAGCAAGTTAGGAGATGCTTTAATATCCTGATCAGCTTTTTCCTCTTCATTTATTTTAGAGCTTTTGCTGTTAGGATGGGTAGTATTTTAGAGTATTGCCTTAATAAAATATTCCTGTAGAGCCTCCTTCATAGAGGAGATGGCTCCCATTACATTACACTGTCCAAGACTTTTTTCAGAAGTTTTTCTAAGAACTAGAGTACTTATTAGATATGAAAAGTGGGATATTTGGTATATGAAAAAGACAACACTTTTAAAACTCATTATCATCATCATCATTACCATTATAATTATTATAATTTTATTATCATTATTATGATTTATCTGATGGCTAGGCTATTACAGAATTGCCTGAAATATATTCCTATGCCATTTTCTGAGACATGTAGCAGTGTCCATTCTCCAACACACTACACTGGATGGTGCAGTCTACTTTTGATGTTACTTTTACCAATTACATAATTATTGTAATCATAAAACAGTGATTCTGTACACTTAGAGATTTCAGATTGTTTCCTAAATCGTTTTAAAGAAGTAACTATCCTGCAGAGAATTCAGTGTCCGTAGAATATAAAGGTGCAGCTATACTGTACTCAGATCTTTACCATAACTATGGAGAATAATTAGTACAAAATGAGAAAAAGCATCAATTCTAATGAAAAACACTTCAGTGCTTTTGCAAATAAACGAATAATGATTTTGCTGATGTTTTGGAAGTTCTTATATTATTAGTGGAATATAACTCTTTAATTGGCATCACATGATGAGAGAGATATAATGCAGTTTCCCCAGTCCAGCTCCTTTTGCAGCTTTAGCATCTCCTTGTCATATCACATTTATCTGATTTTTACCTCTAACATGCAATTCCTCTTTTATTTGATAAGAAAAACATTAAATGTACCCAATTTATTGTTTACTTTTTAATCATTGCCATTTATGGTGGTTTAAACTGCAAAACACCATGTAAACACCATGCTCTCCAGACTGTCAAACAATGCTACACTTGAAGACTAATTTCAGATATGACTAGACAGATGTGAAGATGAACTTCATTTGAAACCTAGTAGCAAAACTGACCCAAAAGGAAAAACTCCAGACTGCAAGGCAAAGCTTATGCTTTAGGAACCCCTAAAATTGTTTTAGACAATGTATGCAAGTTTTGCAAAGGATTGCCTTTCCCCTCCTCCCCTGTCTCCTACTCCCCATTCCGTCCTGTCTTACTCCGCTGGAGGAAACACACTTCTTCCTCAATTAATACAGTGTGTGAATTTGACTGTATTTCTTAAAGAAAAGGATACATTCCTTCATCATAAAGTTATTTTGCTCATGGTGCTGCCACTTCCTCTCCAAATTTGTAAGCTGCAAACACAAAAAGAGCCAAAAATGAAAATGATAAATATTACCCACATACTTTATACAAGTAATCTCCAAAAAATGTTTTAGCAGTACCTTGTACCCTCTCACTTGATAAGATCAAAGTTATTTCACATAAGAAAACTCCCACAGAAATGAGAAACAATAGCAAAACTTTTTTTTCAATGATTAACCTGCATGTAATTTAGCCCTTCATAATCCATCTGTATAAAAGCACCGCACGCAACTGAAGTGGCAGATGAAAAAATCAGATTAGAATTCAAGACTTGTCATATCAATGTAGGCAAGTCAGAAGTTAAGCGAACACTGCAGGGAGATACTAATTCTCATTATGCTTCATATCATTTAAATGATCTCTTTTAAAAATCAGTAAGATCTAAAATCACCAAAGATACAATATTTCCTGACACTGTCTTGGACTCTGAGCCACACAGAAGAAACTTCCTTACTTCCATGGTTAAGTTTCCTGTCTGATGCCAGAAGCTGTGATAAGAACAGAGCTGCAGCAAGAAGATTGTAGGAGGTGTGGGTTATGTGCTGGCACTTCTTCAATACTTTCAGCATCAACAGGAAACTAATGTGGACATTATATCGATGGCTGCTTCCTTACAATACAATTTTATATTTGTTTTTCTGATGCTACTGTTCAAGGTTCTGCATTTCGAGATACGAAGATGTTATTTTTAAATGCAAAAACTGAAAATCATTCTGAGACTAAACTTTCAGTGGAAGCTAAGTTAATAAATCAGGAAAATATCGCCATATTTTACTTCAGAGCTTATTCTTAAGTTAGAAGAGATGAACATGGTTGCTATATTACTCAAATTTTGGCAGTGAAGAATCAGTTATCTAGTGTACTGGTTGACAGTAAATATAGCAGTAATTTATTTCCAAAACAACATATTTCTCACCAATTCGGATTTTTATTGTTCCCTTTGTCAATGTTGCTACACACAACATAGCCAGTAAAGGAGGCTAGATTTGAAATACTTACTGCCTGATACATAGAAAAGGAAACATTCAATGTATTTTTATAGTAACTTCTTGAAGGCCTGTTTACTTGTAAAATCGCCCAAGCCCTCACAATATATGAGCACTATTTGTACTTAAAATGCTTCATGCATTATCAAGTAATCAGCTATTATAAGAGATATCTTTATTCACCCTCACAATATTTACACTCATGACATAGAAAGTAAAGAAATAAATCCTTTTTGCACATGCTGAAATAGAAGTGCCACAGCTTAATGAACTGAAGAAATGCTGCACAACTACTATTTGATATAAAATTTTAAGCCTCATTATGCAAGTATCTTAACACTGGCTGGGTATACATTTCTGATCTATCTAATTTCTAGAAATAAGAATCTGATCTTGGCAGCAAAAATATATGCAATAGTAATAATCCTATGCTACAAATGTATACATATGCCTCAGTCAGAGCTATGCCTTGTCATCTTCTCCATGAAGTTCACTCCAGAAGAAAGTTAAACATGTACAAATATGACCTTCAGTACATAAGTGAATTAGAAGAAGTCACAGTTCTAAGGGACAAATATCTCAACAACCTCAAGCAATAAAAATCAGTAAAATGCATAGAAAATAATCAATTTCCATTTTCACCTTATTTTAACATTATCCATTTTCCTTCCGTGCATTCAAACCTATATGCCAGTGAAGTTCTGTTGCCAAAATGACAGCAGTTCATAGTGTTTATAATGAAAGAATCAAAGCTGCTCAAGAGGTTATAAACATCTTCTTTCCTGATTCATGTTTGAAATGTAAGTGTAAATATACTCACATACCAAAGTTCCTTAGGTTTAAAGAAGTCTGAACAAAGCCTAAAACTTCAGTGGTCTGCAAGGTGCAGAAGAATTGGAAAAAGGGAAACGGAATTACTAGCACACACTGCAAGTAAAAACTTACCATCGTAAGTTTAAAAGCAAAAGAGATCTTAGCTAATTAGTAGTGATTTTCTTTTCCTCTAGTTTCTTTCTAACTTGCTCCTCAAAACTACTCAAACAAAGGAAAGGCAAATGGGGGAGAGTTCTCAGCAAGACTAATGCAAACACTTAAACAAAGGATTTGCATAATTTTTAAGTTTAGAAAGACCTCTGCCTAGTAATCCAAAGTTTACAAGCAATTTATTGGCACAATATTAACTTTAGTTTGAAAACAGAAAATATGGCTACACACTTAGAACACATGACTTTGAAAACATTCTGAGAAGGATAAACAGATTCTGTCCATACAACACTTCATGTGTATGAGAAAACCAAAACTGAGATAGAAACAACTGAAGGGGTAACATGTAACTTGAGCTATACCTGAGAATGTGTCTCATTTTCTTGCAGCTCCCTCTTTAGCTTCTCATAGTCATTATTCAAGTGTTCCATTATTTTCTTGAAAGCACAGCTGCGTTTTGTTAATTTTTCTTTGTCATCCTGGAGTTTCTAGTTAGAAAAAAACCCAACACAACAGATTAATGGATGAGTTAATTTGCTGTGGGATTCAGGCAAAGTACTTACTTCACCTTTCAAGGTGCTGGTATTTTTTTCCTTTCAGAACCAGACCATACGCATAAAGAACTTACAGGCTTTTCCCTAGCAATGCATGCTATATCCTAAAAATGATACTTAATGATTATGACCAAGTTGTAGGCTTAGACCATACTGCATAAGCACAAGTGGGAACACTGTTCTGAGAATTTGTAGGAAATTCTCTTTTGTTTGTGTTCTGTGTTAGATTGCTAAATTCAGAGTCAGGGGTGGTCATAAATTACAGCAGAAGAGTTTAGCTGAATCACTAAAATGTGGAGATTTTGTTGAAGGAAGTTATCAAAATGTATCCAGCTGAGAATGTGCTACATGTACCCAGTGAGTAAGGCACACACATAAGCAGAGAAGCATTTGAACTCATTTGCACTGATGTGCAAGCCCAGTTTTCAGCTACCAGGTAGGACTCTCAGTCATAGAACTGGATTTCCCTCCACTAGCTGCTCAGAAGCACACAAATTCTGTTTCATTCCTTTCATTACCTTTTTCTTCTCTTCTCCTAATGCTTTCAGAGCTGGCAAATTGTTGTAGACCTCAACTTTTGCTTTTGTCTGTTCAATTTTGTCTTTCAGAGAAGTCAGTTCACCAACCATCTTGCCCTCCAACAGTTCCATCTTCTGAAGGTCCATCTGCAGTTTTTGAATCTCTAGATCACCAGATACACAATCTCTAATTAATAGTATTTTTTGTTTCATAATACATAGCACAGTACACAAACATTTATGCTATATTTAAGCAATATAAACAGCTCCTATATATCTTTCTGATTTTGATATTCATGGGACTGTTAATATGAAGGAAATAAAAAAATTTTATCTTTACAGTCATCCCATAAGTCAGACTCCTACATTACAACTACTCCACAAGTGAAGAGTAATGAAAATGTGGTGATTTCCTGCATCACAGTGTTTTTACTGTTATAATTTATAGCCTCAGATAATTTCCATTCTTAAAACAGTGGCGATAACTTACAAAAAGCTGACTGCAATAAAACAGACAATTTTTAAAAAGTACTTTTATTAGGTTTTTTAGCATTGTGTTGTTTTTGTTTATGCTGCTTTTATAGGGATAAGACTTAGTTCTATGAGAAAAACAAAAAGATAAAAAAAATAGCCAATTTATTTTAAAGAATTGCTCTATACAGGAAAACAGTTCCCTATCTCCACAGAATAAGAAGTGTCACAGCTTACTACATCAGCATGTGCATATAGCATTTACTTCTGACACTCCATTAAAAAGAAACAAGAGATGCATGTAATTAAAGGAATTAGAAATTTGAATGGATTCTTAGATGAAGAGAAATGTAATGACTGAAACTGTTCAGATGAGATGTATAAGAGAAGAAACAATACTCAAAATAGTAATATACTTAGACCAATTTTTGGGGATAAGGTATCTACCCTGAGTTTGGAAGGACTAGATGTAGCTAGACTTGTTTTGGATGGTTTTCTGACCTGCCTTGTCATTCTATTTTATTCATGTTCCTGAACATTAAAGAGGTGGCTACATCTTATATTTCAGATCTATGTCTAACTCAGAATAATGATACAAATAATGCAGGTTTTTTGCGTATATTCTAAAAATATCATGCAATGTGGGCTATTGGAAGGGATGAGATAGCACAAAGAAACTTCTCAGCATAGACTGTGTATTTTGCTCAGTCAGGTATGTGCTGATCACCTGGAAAAAAAGGGTAGAAAATTTTCCCCAAAACTTAACCAAGACAGTTTAAGTCTTTATGGCAGAAGGGAACAGATGTGTCTATGTGACAGAGGAAGAGTTCACTTTTCCAGAAACTGTGGGTATGGTTTCCTCAGTGGACTCATTTGCGGAAATGTCACCTGATGAAAATACTGTCATAGCAAGATTTTTATACTCATCTCTCTGCTTGTTTAGCTATGCCATATATGCATTTTTTTTAAAGTTAAATATTGGCTTTACTCAACATTTTTGGCTTATTACAGGGTGCTTGGGTGATTTCTTTAGGAACCTCAAAATAAATAAAAAGACAAGCCAAGATTTTTGTGTAGCATATGTAATTATCCCGAGGAATGCTGATCCATAAGGTAAGACTGAAAGAGTCCTGTAAGTGCAAAGAGCATTTATATAAATATGAAAAATTTCCATACCAGTATAAAGTATTAAAAATAAAATGTTTGGAACTGTATTCCATGTCTGTAATTCAATGCCTGCCTTCCACTGTAAAGAGCTTAAGAAAACATTTTCTCTGTGTCTACAGCATTTCATAACTGCACATAGTTTTACACTGAAGTTTCTGGTATAGGTCAATGACAGATTGTAAAGCACAGCTGAACAGAACACAGCTTTATTTCTCTTGTTCCTACAGCTCTGTGGTTTAAGGGCAGACAAATGCTTAAGGACCTCAATAAATGAAGGATTTAAGATCAGAAACAGTAAAGAATGTAATTATAAATTCAGGTTGGAGAGAATAGCCAAAACCAACTATAAATGTTGCTAAGGATTTATTTAGACTTATTCACAGCACTTTCAGTTTTTATTGAGTTGTTTTAATACCTATATTTTGTCATTTTAAAACAATACATAGTTAACTAATTGGAATTTATTTTACATATTAAGAGTAATAATAAGCTAAATGCCAAAAAGGTAGAAAGAACTGTAGATAGTTCTATTTATATACTGACAAAAACCATAGGGTAACAGCAATGGGTATTCCTATCCATTCACACTTTCTGTTGAAAAGGGAAGAAACTGAACAGGGTGAATTTTATCCTTATCCAGCAAGAGTCTCAATGAAAAAAACTCAAAACTAAAATAATCTGAGAACTCCTCTAGGAGAAGAGACAGGAAGAGGATGCAGCCCAGTTCCTTCTGATACGCCATGAAGTTGCAGTGTCTAGCATGTAGTGTGTACACAATAGCAAATTCTCAGAACAAACTACGGTGACCCAGGGAAATGTTTGGGAAACTATGCCATCAGCACTTTTGTTTACTCTTCATGGTTTCCTTTACTTTTTTTATTTTTTTAAGGGTTCTGCTGGTGGACTTTTTATATCCTTGTTATGGCAAGAAAATACGGAAACCCATATTTTAATCACAACAAAAGAATCCTGAAGATGACTGTGCTGCAATTCAAGGGTTAGGAAGAACTTCAGCTGTGTAAACTGAAGATTCACTGTATTTCGGAAAGAATCTTAAGTTGTTTATTACATTATCTCTGACTACTTGCTGTCAGACATTTACTTATGAATCATTTAAATGATCTGCTGAACATTAGGTACTGTAACTGTGTCCCCTTGCAGAGAAAGAAATGTCTTTCAGTAATGACTCTATAGTGCTATGTGCATCCAAAACATCCTTCTGTTGAAAAGTATTCAGATTTGATGCTTACATGAAAGAATAAAAGGTCACATTTGAACTTCTAATGCATTTTAGAACTTTTTAAACTACACTAGAACTGAACTGCAAAATTAGTATTTGTAGAGTAAGTTTTCAAACCAAACATAACAACAAATTTCTGTAACGCTTTGTGCATAACAACTTATTTTCTCATAACTACCCTGATGTCACAACACAGGCTCCTATTTTGAAAATTACTAGCAAGTACAGCACATAATAGCCTTCAAACAAAATGATTTATGGTTCTTAATTCCTGCCCCTTCCTTTCAGCCAAACAAACAAGGAAAGGTTTGCTGAACCAATAATGATATTGGCAAAGGCTTAGAATTGTGAGAACAATTCTACTATAAACAGTGCAAATAAAGAACTAAATGGATACATGTTATGGATATGAAAGAAAAATACTGTTTGCTTTTTGAAATTATAGGCACGATCATGCAGATTCCTACAGTTAATTTTAAGTATTCGAGAATTAAAAAAATGAAGTCAAAATGAATATTCACTTTGCAGAATCAAAGCCTCAGAATTTCACACCTATTCACTGTTGTTCTCAATTATTCTCTTAGTACATACCGCTCTGAAATAACACAAACCATAAGTAAGTGATACTAAGAACAAATAATAATGGTTACAAATAATACAGGGTTAGTTAACTGTGAAAGACCCTATTTACTACTACTTACTACTACTTATTACTACATAAAGTACTATTTTAAGATCGTGAAAAATATTTATTGCAAGATAAGTTTTAGTAAAATCAAACTTCTAGCTTAACAAACTTCATTCCCCATATTAAAACACATTTGGTTAACTTATATCTGTGAATGGAAGCTGATCACTTAGTGGAAACAGTAAGTGAAATATTCCTGCAGGATATAAATAACTTGATACCCACAAGAGTTTCAATTTGTCAGCTTGCCACAGTATTTTAATATTTGGAGATCACTTGTTATCCAATATTCGGAGATCTTGTACTTGTCAACAGTGTAATAATGCAGGTAATCTTAACTATTTTAAGGAATGAATTTGAGAATTCATTGCTGATCTCACCTGTAACCAGATTCTTAGCCGTGCTCTGTGATTTCTGCATTTCATTTGATTTGAAAGTGAGGTCTTCTTGCATAACCTTCAGCTCTTGATTGGTAACAGATGAAATTTGTTTCATATGATTCAGATTCTGTGTGTTAGCAATAACAATCGTGAGAACATGGTGTATTTTTTAAACAACAAATGGTAACTGGACAAGTAAAAATCTCTCCTGTTCTGGAAGATTGTCCGTTGTTTGGCTTTTCTACTAGAAACACTTAAAATACTGGAAATCGTCTGAAGTGATTTAAATGTGAATGACGTTCATTCTGCCAACTTTTGATAAAAGATGTACTGACAGACCAGAGCAGATGGTCTGCAAATGCAGGAAGTATAAACTGTGTTCCCATATTGATCTGTTCTAAAGTAAGTGACAGTGCCTAAAACGCACCTTGTGGTATACCATATTGAAAGAGTTGGAAAACAAGTAAAGTGATCATAGAATCAAAGTATTACTCAGCTGAAAGTTTTCTGTAAGATAAAAAAAACCCCACAGGAACAAAAATGTTAAAAGACAAGAAGTCTTAAAAGTGAAAAAGTTGGCACACTGCAATTGGGAAAAATTTCTAAAGTGTTACATTATTATTTTATATTATTCACATAAAATATTACACATCAGGATATTCCAGACATAATTTTAGTAGATCAGAGAGAGAATTGGAACACTTTCAATTACGTAACAGCAGTGACAGAATATCCATGAACTGAAATTTGCAAACTTTGGGTAAACAAAATATTGCAGTAGTTTTATTTGCAGTATTTGGAAATGTTTCTCATTAATGGAATAATGCTCATTGTAACAGTGGTAAGGAGTTACAAAAATTATGCAAACATTTCTTTTGTTCTGGTCACAATATTACATAATATTGAAAATTATTTCCTCAGAAACAAAGAGAAGTTAACCAAATCATTTTTTAACTACAGCTGTATATGTTTTAATATTCAATTATTTTAAGAGGTTATTATGTAGATAAATATATAAACCCCACCATCCCCACCAGTCACTCTCCTGTTCTGTGCTCCCAAATTCCTGACTTGCCACAGGAGAAGGGAAATGCTTACCCTGCTTGACTGTTCCAGGAGTGCAACAATGCTAGCTTCTATTTGGGCCTTACGTTCAAGTTCCTGATTCTTCGCCTCTTCAAAAGTCTCAAAAAAATCTAGAGAACAATAAACATGAAAAAGAAGGCTCTTTCTTGCATGGGTATAACACAATCCTCTGCTGTTTCCAGTCAAAACTTTGTATTTAGTTGTATACAGTTTCAGACTGGTTACCTTAATCGTTCACTTATGAGACAGGTGGCAGAGTTCTTGGAACTTCTCAACTTATCAGTTGGAATGAAAAACAGGAGATTTTTTTCCAAAGACATACATTGGACATGAGGTCATCACCTTCTTGTATACTGTTTAGGTGAGGGTTGATACCCAACAGAAAAGAATTTCGTCCCCATTCTGATGCCTTTCTAAATGCTTGCCCCAGCAGCTGTTAGTCTTTAGTTTCCTGAAAGCTATTAACATGGGCTACTAAATAAAGGAAACCATATTTGCTCTTTTCCCATCTGTAAGACTATAGCATGTTCCCTGAAATCCCTCAAATAATCTCAAACAGGTTTGGAACTGCATCAATATCCTCCGGTGAAGGATAGAAGCAGAACTGAAACCCCCAAAGTCAGAAGTCCCACTTTCACAATCTGTATTCATAAGGAAAATCCAGATCAAGTGAGCTTTTGCCTTTTTGCTTGTTAGTAAATCTGGCAATTTGAAAACACAGAAACTCTCTGTTAGTTGTTTCTGAAGTCTCTACAATGTTAGAACCTTTTATATGTAGCAAAGCTTTGGCAGCATTCATCTTGAATAAACAGATAAATGAAGCCTTAACTTTAAAGAATTACATGATGTCTAAACTTATCCATTTTGAAGTTCTGAACAGACCTGAACAGCTGGTTTATAGATCTTTAATTTAAATTAATTTAAAAATTAATCTCAGCCTTGCTTTCATAAAATAAGGTTGTGATCCTTAAGACCTTTAATGGCTGATGAAAAGCCTTGAAAGATGATCCAAATATTTGTGACTGTCCTATAAATCCTAAAGTATCAATTACCTTGCCCTGAGGCAGACCACAGAAACTTTATCCAAAGATCATTACATCAGTTCTGTGCAGCTCTAAATGACCTGTGTTTTAAGAATACAAGAAAACCTGTATTGAAATTAGACAACTTACTGTCCATGCTTTCTTCCCTCTTCTTCAGCTCCTTGTACTTCCAATTTTCTTCTCCTGCAAGAGATGCAACATTTATTTCACTTTATATTGTCTTAGTCCTGGACTCCTTGGCATACAAAACATCAGTATTAAAAATAAAATTTCTACATGCCTAGAATCTACAGGACTCATCCCATGTCATTTAATGTAGTCACTTCAACTGACTACATCACACACACTTTTACATTAAAAAAATATATAATCAGCTAAATAAATCATCCTAAATGCAATTTTAGAAGCTTTGAGAGGTTAGAATTTTGGGTAAATAGGAGTGGGATAAATTCTCGGTTTGAACAAAGGAAGTTCATAGGATTTTTCTGAAGTCAGGTGAATTTCAATAATAAACACTTCTGCGTATTTGGGCATCATGGTTAGTTAGAACTTTCTGCAGGTCTGTTTAACATATGAGCCATTTCAACAGCACTTTTACATATCAGAATGGACTTATCATAAGGATATGTCAGCTTGCAAAGCAACAGTGTGACAAGGGAAATAAACAGGAAAACTGTACAAGTAGTGGTGCAAGAAAATAAAACACACAGAAAGTTTTCTACAATTGAGTTTAAAATTTTCCATACACATTCTTTATAGTGGTATTAGAAGTAAGAAATAACATACAATAAGTAATTCATGCTACCTTTAAATTCAACTACTGAGTGTAAGTAGCTCTTAACTTAAATGTACAAGTAAAGTGGAAGACCTGATTATTTGTCACAGGAAGATGAGGCAATTCAGCTCCCAAGAATAATTATAAGTTTCAAACATCTAAATTTTTAATTGTTTGAGTGTTGATAATTGATTATTTCAAGCATAATCTTGTAATTTTAAAGAATACAAAGTAATAGAATGAAATACATACAGATATAACTAAAAAAGCCAATGTCTTCTGGCTTTTTTTTCACTTGTACACCCCCATACTTTTCTTTTTATCTAGTAGATGCAAACAATAAGAACACCCATGGGGCCCTAAGGGACTGTGATTCTGCTTCAGCTTCCGTGCAGCTATGGCTTTGTACCTTGCTGGACTTTCTCTTTCATTTTGCAAGGCAAGTCTCCAATACTCCATAACTCAGACTGTTCTACTCTTAAAGAATCTAGTAACAGTGAGCCAAGTGTTTAAAAAATTGAAATAAAGTCAACAACTTGAAATGTCTTTGCACATAATTTTTCTTTTAAATACACCATCATTACATCAATATCCAAGTAATTTGTGCAATTTATGAAGTGTAAGGTCTGTTCCACTGTAAGTTAATGCTGACTTTGACTTATCAGTTCAAGTTAAATGCTAGTATGTGGAACATATGTTAAGTGGGTGAATTTTTAAATTATTTAAAGTTTCTCTGGTGAAAATTAAAGCCAGCTATTTCTGTTTACCGTCCACGTAATTTTTTCCTGCTCAAAAATGTTTCTAATGCTGAAATATTTATCCTGAAACGTTAATACAAGGTAAAAGAGCCAGGATCATATTTACATAAAAAACTTCAGGAGCTGAAGTTTTGGGAATGTTTTGTAATAAAGTTTACATAGTGATCCAGAAGTAAACTGACTGGGGAGGGAGGACAGGAATCTCAAGTACACACCAAGATGCTGATTTAGAGCAGAAGTATGAATGGTCCTCCATGATTATCTCTCCATTCACCAGAGAAGATAGCATCGAGAATTTACATTTCTGTGTCTTAAAGCTACTGCTTATGAATATCTTCTTTATTCTCTCTGTCTTACACTAACAGGTGTAATTCCCTCTGTATTATACCACAAGGTTAACTTGATTCTGAATATCCTAACTGATCTTAATGTTTAGACAGAGAGCATGTGCTTTCTCCTACATACGCTTTAAACTCTCCTTTTCAACAGACTTCTTTTTCTAAAAAAGTGAAAGACGTGGTCCAGGAATGAATGCTTGTGTGTGTAACCTGAACTATAAACTGTGAAAAGCAACTCACTTCTTACCTTCTGCATTTTTCCCAAGAAAAATAAAGAAGGGTTGCAAGCCAAACAAAAAGGAAAAATTAAAGTAGAACAGTAAAACTGGCAATGATATTATCTGGAAATACAAAAGCTAATAAAGCAGTCTTAATAAATTATTGGCACAAAAATAATGAAATATCTGTAGAAATAGGAAATATTGTGTCATATAAAAGATGAGAAACAGATGTACCAAACATTTGTTTAGATGCAAATTTAGAAATATTTGTTCTGCCTGAAGAAACTTACAGCTACATTTTACACTGATCACCCAAGAAATGGCATAAAGAGGACATACATCAATTCATTAGCCCTATAGAATTTAAATAATGTGTTACAAAGTCTTCCAGAATCCATGCATATACTTATGTAATTCCTATCTAAACAAGATTTCCTATAAGCAAGAGAAGGTTTTCCACTGGATGAATACCTGTTTTAAGGAGAATCTTTCACAGCTTTTAAGGGCCTCTGCTCAAACTAAAGCTTCTTCCTCCAGAACCACAACTTCCAGTGCTAGGACAAATCCCAACCTAAACTAGCCTAACATACTACAGTACATGTTTGCTGGAGGTAAGTATAAGCTAAGGCCATTTTAACTCAGTCCCCAAACTCTTCTTGCAAAGATCACCCCAGGAAGTTTCAAAGACAGATAAAAATAATAATAAATTCTGTCTGCATTACACATTATTGCTACACATGCCCAATTCCACACTCACTGACAGTGTATTAGATCACGTAGAAGGTAAAATTAATGAAAGCATTTATAATTATGAGCTGGTTCTGCAGTGCTGCCAGGAAGATAAACTTCTGTTCCACAAGCAGTCCTAAAAATAAAACAGGGACAGAAAACCAGACAGCTGTACTATAATTTTATGATCATTTTCAATATGAACTGGATGAATGTGCCACTAAAGGCACTTCCCTTGCTCTTATCTTGAACACCAAAGCCTGTACCTCTAGACACAAAACTTCTGAAGATGATGAGTAAAGGACACTTGCACAAGCCTAAAAGTTTCAAGCAACTAATGGGTATAACACTATGTCTTATAACAGAAACAGATGCAGCTCTGCATATTCTGCTGCAATTCTAATTATATTACCTCGATGACTCTCCAGATCCATATCAAGTCGTTGAATGACCTTTCTAAAATGGTTTGTTTTTTCTTTTACTTCTGTCAGCCTGATAAATAGATAATGAAAGCCAAGGTTAAAAATATGTTGTAAAATACTTGTATTTTAGACAAAAATGAAGAGAGAAATCAAGAACAAAAATAGCAAACCTAAATTTATCAAAATCAAAAGAACATCAGGAAGATTCCTGTTATTATAAAAGGTGCATGTAAAGCATCTGCCACTTTAGTCCCCACAGCTATTAAATATAAGTAGTGCTGCTCCTTTTTATTAAAAAAAGATTTTTGTGGAGTCATCAGGAATTCTTAACTTACTCAACTAGTCCCTCTGCTGGTTGCTATTCAACTTTGCAGAGGTAACACAATCGTTAAACTGCAACAACCAACTACAGTCCTTAAACATTACTTGCATGTTCACTAAAATCTATTAAGAAACTGCCATGTAAAAGTAAAACGCTCTGCTACATAATCAAAGAAAGTGAGATAGGAGATTGCCTTAAACACATTACTATGTAAATTCTCAAATGTAATTCTCTGTTATTGTATCTTTTAAACAAATACTAGGAAGCAACTTATTATCCAATCAAAAGTATCAATATATTAAAAAAATTAACCAGTAATTACAGTTGGGAATACTGATTGAAATTTTAACTTGTTTCTAGGACATTTCAGGAATTATCTCAATTTTTCTTTAAACAAAGAGAAATGAAAAGGCTCAAAATCACAAAATATTGTACTGCTTAATCTATCCCCCCTCCAAGACATTACTATTTATTATAAAATTTACTTGGCTTTCTGGCAAATCTTCAGAAATGTCCAGTAACCAAGAATCAAGAAGCAATGCCCTTTTTAGAACTTAACTTTCTGCGAACAACTTTGTAACTTGACGGTTTTAAGAACACGCATTAAACAAACTCTTCAAAATGTGACTGCAGCATAATGTAGGCTTAACTTCACAGATATCCCAGAGTGGCTCTTGCAGAAGAATGTCTTCTTTGGCCTTAAAACAAGTCTATGACAGTGCTATTACCAATTTATATTCTCAAGAGATGTTCATAAGGTGTGGAAATATCTTATATGCAGATCTAAATGTCCTATCAATACAACAGTTGTTTACCTGAAACTGAAGAATATATTCTATTCTCTGTGAAAGTTTAACACTAGTACAGGTTTGAAAATGTGCTGATGTTCTAAAAGTCTATAGAAACATGTGATGAAACTCAACTATCTCTCTTTAGGGTGTACATGTAATTTATAGCAATAGTGTAATGAGGTTACTCACTGTCTTTCCATGCTTGTTATTTTTTGACTGTCGTCTTTAACCTATGAAAAAAAATAACAATTTTTACATATAAATTAAAATCTACAAATTTAAAAAGGAAAGTAAAAAGAAGATTTCTTAATTCAGAATACAGGGAATAGAAACTCAGCATATGAAATGACAAACTTGCGGTCACATTGTCCAACAAGAAGTGATATGATTTACATGATACGACTTCCAAATGATTAAAATTCAGATACACTTACCAGTGTCATTCAGACCAATAATCCATACAGTATAGATTGATACTTACATAACACAGTAACATAGCACTCTTAGATTAGTGCATCTGTTCAGCACCCCACAAGTATACTGTCTGGAGTTATGTTACAGAGCTGTTCAATTGGATCCATTTTCTCAGATCAGTATGACTTGTGAATGAGTCAACCAGCTGAAAAGCTGACTGTGCCAATTTTGCTTTGATAGAATCATTGAATGGTTTGGGTTAGAAGGGAACTTAAAGATCATCCAGATATAATCCACCCTCCCTCTGCATCCCAGCCCTGCCATGGGCAGGAGCGCCATCCACCAGATCAGGTTGCTCAGGGCCCCATCCAAACTGGCCTTGAACACTTCCAGGGGCAGGTTATCCAAAACTTCTTGGGGCGACCTGTGCCAGTGCTTCACCATCCTCACAGTAAAGAACTTCCTCCTAACATTTCACCTAAATCTCTCCTCTTTTAGTTTAGAACAGTTTTCCCCTTGTCCTATCAAGGTCAACAGGACCAGGGAGGTGATTTT